GTACTCTTGCAGTAACGAATTAAGCTAGAAACGATGTTTAGCTTACGCGTTGGAACGCAGTCTCGACTACTCACTTTGTGCTAGCCTCGCTCACCCGCATCCTTGGTCGCGCTACATCATCCCGCAGACGTTGGTTGCTACCAAAAGTTCAGCGCTAAGGTCAAGCTTCCAATGGAGATGTTACTCACTTTTCCAATAAACGCCTCAACTTAATCTCCGACATAGACTGCTTATGGGGTCTTGAACTCATGGTGAAAGATGAGAATGTGAAGCAGACAACCCGGTGAATGAAGCGAAGATCCTGGGTGGTGATTGAGAACAAGATATAGAAAACCTTGCAGATAGAACTTACGACGAGAAGAAAAAAGCCTTAGGGATATGGACGAACGAACGGAGATGAGAAGACAACCGAAGGGATTTGCCAGCAACGTTGCAATTGGGGCCAGGAACAAATAAAGGATTAGTCCCGTTTCGCCCTCTTTCGCCAACCCGCCATCACAACTCATCACAACCTTTTCTGACACCATCCACGCGTTTTACGATCATTACTCGGTATTATGCCGCGTAAAAATACTCCTCTATTGCAGAGGTCGCCTACAGGAAGACGCTCACCGCATTCAGGTGCGTCATCCAAGTGCTCCTGAACGAATGGAAGTCACATTGACCAAAAATCACAGCAATTAAGCAGTTCAAACGATTTCCCATTCAAATCAAACCTCGTGGAGGGAAAGAAAACATGCCCACCTTCCACTCCAATGCGGTTCATGGCGGCAATCTGAGCGACATCCGCGAGGAAAGTACCGAACTAGAAGTCTTTCGCGATGACAATTATCGCGACCTTCACACCAACAGCCTGCCAGGCGATGATGAGGAGTTTGATTTCGAAGATGTGGACGACGACGTAGCGGAATGGGACGAAGAGAGTACTCTCGTCGCTTTGCTCGATTCTGAGTGAGTATATGCGCCCTCTTCCATTCGTTTATATTGACAATACCCCGCTACCAGACGGGACGGGGATGACGTTTCGGCCCTTGCCAACAATTTACAGACACCCATTACGGCGCGGGGTGTCACTCTAAAAGAGCATCTCGTCCACACTATTATCCCAGCAGCCAAGAAAGTAAAGAAGACTCATCTCGCATTAGACGTCAACGTGGACCCCCTGTTTGAAGAAGGTATATTGCTGTTTAACGACGCTAGCAGAAACTTGGAGAATTTGGCTCTTCGGGACGAGGACGAGCTCCGCACTGCGTACAAGAAGGTCCAGGTAGGTCTCCAGTGCAATGACTTGGCTATACCCGACGCGAACTGGCCTGCTAGACTCGCATCAAGAATCTGTTTTCTCAGCTCGAGGAAGCCTGCGAACGACGCGACAAAATATCATCTGAATTCAACATTGCTCTGGAACAAAGTGGTACTTCGCTTCTCTTCTGGCTGCCACGATGTGTCTGGACTGCATCTAAACTGACAAACGCTTCTCGCAAGTGCATCGCGTTAAAGACGAACTGGATACGCTGCCTGGAGACATCGAACGTGTCATCACATCTCTTGATAAGAAAAGCAAGGAAATGGACAAGGACGGCACTGTTTCTGCAAAGTCAAAGGAGAAGATGATCAGGGACCTGTTGGCTAACTTGTGAACTCGCTCTGGATACGCTATGCCGAACAGCTTTAATGATTCTGGCTCCTGACTTGGTGAGTGGATGCACACCTCCCGGTTGCTTGTGCTTACCTTTCAGGTCTTTATTTTATAATTGTATCCATACCTGGCCCGTGTTGTTTACGTGTTTGAAATGTTATGTATTTTTTTTGTTCAACATTTTTGCCGCGATGTGCATTTGTTGCGCTGCTGAGATGCCGAGACTGATCGGAAGCAGGGAATCGAACGGCCCCTATCTTGTCAATAATATGACCAACGACTTGAAGTTGCCGACGTGTCCTTATCGTACGACCACGACCACCTCACGATGACTGCGGTACCCTCGGCTCACGAGTACCTGCAAAGTGTATCAAACCCTTTTGTCGACTTTCTAGGCCTTGCCAAAATATCGAAATTTTCCGGAGCAATTTTTGGCTCGTTCGTGTTCTTTACGGTCATTCATTTGCTGGTAGCGCCTGCAGTCAGTCAAAAATTCTTCCCTAATGCCTACACGAGCGGTGGAAAGAAGGGCATGAACAACTGGTCAGTCTATCCTATTTCACACTCTATTGAAGTCCTGAATTTCGCCTCAGGTCTATTCATGTCGCGTCCCTGATACACTCTGTGATCGTCATTATCCTGGCAGCGTGCGCGCTCGACCTACCGGCTCTTGAGAACGATCGCGCTTTTGGCTGGGACGATAGAGCAGGACCCGTTCTTGCATTTGCTTGCGGGTGAGTCCACTTAACACTTCCAATGGCGTCTCAATATCTCATTTTGTCCCCAAGCTATTTTATTTGGGACACATTAGATGCGATTTTCAATTTCATAGATGTCGGCTTTGTACTTCATGGTGCGTTTCATTCAGCTCTCATCTATCGTTCTGAATTGACACTCGGCATACAGGATTATCCTGTACCCTCCTGTATACAATGGGCTTTGTGCGTTTTCCGTCCGAACCGAACACTAATTGTTGCGAAATTCACACATTCATCCATTCAGAGTCCGTTTCTTGCCTACTATGGTGTTCGCTGTCTCTTCTGGGAATTGTGAGTTGCCTTGGAATAGGCCATGCACCACCCTCTGAACGCGTATATTTATCAGGAGCACTGTATTCCTCAACATCCACTGGTTTCTCGATAAAACTGGTCGCACAGGAACCAAATTTCAACTCATCAACGGCTTCTTTTTGCTCGTGAGCTTCTTTGGTGTCCGACTCGTCTGGGGTGGCATGGTGGTGCGTTCCTCTGTGTACTTTCCTGCCAGTACAAGCTGACGCCAGGCTGCACAGTCATACCAATTCTTCCACACACTATATGAAACGCGTCACGAAGTCTCTCTGGTGTACCTCGTGATTTACGGAGCAGGGAATTTGTTGCTGCAGTCTCTGAACATAATATGGTGAGGACATTAATAGTTTCTGCTGAATGCCGTAACTGATCATGCATGCAGGTTCGCGAAAATGGTTACTGCTTTGAAGAAACGATTCAAGGCCCCACCTACCTTGAAAGACACGCTCCCAGCCGCTGTAGCGAACGGTGAGGGCCACCGTTATGTTTAATGCGCAAGAGTCCCGTTTTGGGGGAGAATTTGTTTGCTACACAGACCTCCGCAGTCTTGAGATATCTCTATCGAATGTTCTACCATACCCCATGCAGCTTGTGCCCTTATAACGACTAGACCAACTACCCGGTCAAATAGCATACGAACAGTCTACTTCACGCTTCAATACCCTAAATGCCAGAAATTGGATTCCTTTACTCTAAACAATTTATTTGGGCACTGTGCCGCCCTATGCAGAAATAAACGCAGCCGCTACCTGAGCTCTAACCCGGCGTTCCCAAGCAACTAAGTTGACCCTGCGCGTTATCTCCAACCGAAGAGCATTGGCGCTTTTCGTGTGCAGAATAGTGTGCAGATACGCAAAGAGCAACGCGTCCAGCGCTGTCGGGTTTCTACAACAAAGATACAGTTAGACTATGCCGGGTTACGATGAATGCAGGGACTTACTCGGATGTGAGGAACCACTTATCGGTGCCCAGTCGTTCTGAGAGGCTCGATATCGCATCTTTGTACTGCAGCTCAATAGCAGCAGCCGATACATGTGTGCCGTATGGCGGAAGCAAGGATGAGAAACCGGACAGCGGAGGTGGGGGCGGGCTCAGGATCGCAGACAAGGGGCTCCCATATGGGGCAAGAGTCTCTTGCATGAATATGGACGTTATGAACGAGTGTTCCGGTTGCGACACAACCTGCAGCGCGTCAGTATCGGACATCCAGAGCAAGGTGGATGGATGGACGTACCAGCGCAGCATGCACTTTCCCCTCCAGCAGCGACACCCAGGCGTGGCTCTCATCTTTCGTCGCCTCATCTTTGTAGCCCTCAAGCGGGTCCGCATCCCCAATGCTCTTGTCGACCCAGCCGGGAATCATATGCGCTGCAAGTAGCTCGCCGCCGCCATCGTCCGGGCTGGCCTCTCTGGGGACGTGCAGGTTAGGCAGCCTGCCATCTATTCCGCCATCTGGGCTGACGTCCGAGCGCACGGCAATATTGGTGAGCCCGCGCAGAGCAAGGAAGGCCTGCCATTTCAAGCACTCGACATCACTGCTAAGTGGAAGCTGCTCCGTGTCGGCGTATGGTGCTCTGGGTGGCAGGATCCACAGTGTCGGTCTGGTGATTGCATTCACGCTCGCATTCGCAGGATAAATGGGATCCCATGTCTTGAGAGGGAAATGAGAGTAGAAAGCCTTCAGCGGCGCCGGGATGGTGAAGATGGAAGACATTGGACTTCAAAGTTAGGGGCTTATCCAAAACTGCTGGCTGGCTGGTTCAACTGACGTCGCTTCATGCGAGTTCCAGTTTCCAGAGCTCCCGACTTGCAATAAAAGATAAAATAAAAGGACGGCGATGCTCACACTTGAATTGCATGCTATCTGGCCCATTAACTTTACAGCCGTTCTTAGCCTCCAAAACCGCGTGCGTTTCACTACCTCGGTCTGGAGAGCTTCTTGAATCTATAATGCGCATAATGTGATCTTTCGGGAAAGGTAGGTGTTTGACACAAAAGAAAAATGAACAGTGGGTGGTGTACCCACTGAACCAACAATTGAGCGACGATGGCAGGACTCGAACCTACGCCCTACAAGAGGAATTGATTTCTAATCAATCGCCGTAACCACTTGGCTACATCGCCTTGAAGACAGGCGCGATATTGACCGCCATCATGCCCCAAGTGGCAGCCACGGCGTCTGAAGATCTGGAAGGCCTCAAGATAAGGTTACCATCAAGATAAGATAATCGGTTTTCTTGCGTACTTACAAGCTGTCTGATTATTGTGACACGCCCACGCTCCGACTTCAAGGCGATGTAGCCAAGTGGTTACGGCGATTGATTAGAAATCAATTCCTCTTGTAGGGCGTAGGTTCGAGTCCTGCCATCGTCGCTCATATGCTGTGATTCATTCACACAAGTTCTTTTTTCTCCCGACCATCATCATCATTTTGCTATCAGATCAACATGGGTAGGATGACTTCGATGCCACGATTTACTTGTATCTCACCGTGCCTCGATGACCAGCAGGTATCGCGCTATGGCTTGTACCACCTCCAGCCCAGCGGGAGGATCTTCAGCGGATTATGGACTCCCGTCCACCCCCCAGCGCAAGCAAATCCAAATCTCCCAAGTCATATCCCCACTTCGAGCCGCACATCACCCTCGCGTCTTCCCTCCCCTCCTCTCTCTCGACCGCCGCGATCTTAGCCTCAGTTCCTAAAAAGGATGATGGCACAACATTGCACATCCATTTCAAATCCATTGAAGTCGGAGACCATTATTTCCGCTCAGTCTGCCTCGACATACAGCCTTCGCCTTCGCTCCTAAAGCTGCGTGATGACATCCATGCCGCTCTGCGAAGACATGAGGGTACCGACCCGAAATCCCCGCGGTTCCCCCACATGTCTCTGTATTATATTGACGACTCGGAGCCCGAGGAGCGACACATTATCACCAATCACTTAGTCGCCTCAGGCCAGGCTGCAAGCCATGATGGCGGTGTGCGTTTGGGCGGTTTATCGGGCTTCGACGACGCAGAAATATGGGTTGTGCGATGCGAGGGGCCCGTCGGGGAGTGGGAGACCCTTGGTAAAATGAATTACTAATAATACAGGAATGAGTGTGCTTTGGTGTTATGACGAGATTTGTAAGTAGCTACAATGCGAAGATGTGACAGCGAAGCGAAGACGGATAGTGACAATTAGATATGCGGCCGTGCGCGATACGGATAGGATATCGAAAGCAAAACAAAACAAAGCAATGACAGGCAGTGTGGGCTCATGGTGACTTCAGCGGGAGCGCGTCCGCCGCTTGGTCCTCCGGCGTATATAGCGGTAGCGGAATCGAGTAATCGATCTTGCGATCCCCGTTGGAATCGAAAAGTTGAGAATATGCCGGTAAGCTATGGGCGTACGGAAGGCTCTTGGGCATCGCCATCGGCGGAGGCAACGGGGATGCAGAGCGGGAAGATGCGGGTGATAGATCGAGGAGGTTCTCTGGATGCGTGGCTGTAGGAGTGACATTTGCGAATTGCACCGGAATGGTGAAGCTCAGACGCTCGCGCAGCGGCTCCGACATCCCTGGGGCGTCGTACGAGCACATGAGCGAGACACGCACTTCGTGGCTCACGCCAAACAGCGGCGTGCGCTCCGACACGCGTCGCTGACGTGCTCTTGGGCTGCGTGCGGCAAGCGGGACGGTGCTTTTGACGGTGTACCACGTCGGCGCGTCGCGCGCAGGGTAGTCGTCCGCGAAGACGCAGCCGTCGCCCGCAATTTCGTAGGTCATTGGCTCCAGGTCGTCCATGAGGGAGAAGGTGCGAGTGACACAGGTGCAGGAGTTGCGGCGTTCGCCGAGGAGGCCTGTCTCGAAAAGTGTGGAAAGACGGTGGGGAGCGAGTAGGGCGCGGTTGGGGGGCTGATTAGATAGTGAAGGAATGGGGTAGTGGGTTGAGAAGTCGCGAGAGGGCATTCCTCTGGATGTTTGGTCAGCCACAGTTCAATGTGGGATGATATCACGAATGGACGTACCGGTATCGCTCTTGTTGCTGGACATCTACAGAGAAAGCTGACAGGCGCAGGCGCTTGGTATCCTCCTCGCTCAAATCGCTCGTCCGTAAACGGATTGTGAATGGCATAGAGGTCGCGTCCGCTGGGATGTGTTCGGGTATAGACATTAGGGCCTGTATTTTGGAGATGATATCGGCTGGGATTTTGGGCTCTTCAGGCAGGCACTCCAGCTCTGGGCGTAGGGCAAAGTTGGCCATAGGGAAAAGCGATTCGGATGCGGGGATGGAGGGTGGATTCATGAAACGAGATAATGTTATCGGGCAATGCTCCGCGTAGACCACTTTCGATTTCGGACGGAACAGCGAGCACAGCGTTTGAAAGGACCACGATCGATCACTCTCATCGTCCAAAGAAGCGAATTTAGCGGTTGCGTACAATGCGTAGCTGGTGCCGGTTCCCTCCTCCGACCAGTCACCGTAGGTGGACGTCGTGGGCAACCAACCGGGCACTGGTAAATTGAAGACGACATTCCATGCACACGGCTTATCTGAGTGTTCGTGTCCCTCGTTGCTCAACTCAAGAGGTTCGTTCGGTGCGAGCTCACGGGTCATGGAACAGAGGCGGAGTGGCGCATATCCGATTTCACGCGTGACGACCTCGGATTGGCCTTCGAATGTGATGGTGAGCGATTGTAGGAGTAGCCGAGTGGCTCTCCGTGTCTCAAACATGGAGGCCTGGGATGTTAGGGAAATGGAGACATGGCCAGAGAGCGAATACGCTGATCTGCAATGAACGGTCAGTTGGTAACCATGCCCGGAAGTTTCAATGGAACGTACGATGTATCAGGCTCCCCATACATCTCCAGAGACGTCGATAGCGGGCTGATAGCAATAGAGACGGACATAGCGATCGCAAGGGAGACAACAAGAGTAGCTGAGGAGTCTTTCTTACAACAGCGTTGTTCTTATAAACCGGGTTCACGGCGCGACAAGATAATTAGTATAAAGCGATCTGCTCACATGCATATTACGGTTCTGAAGAAACCAGGGCGCAAGATGTCAGACATGTCACTACAGAATTAGCGATTCCCATTGTGTTACGACAAGAAGAGGACAAGGCGCATTGAGCTGTCAACGCCTTTATCTTTCCCGAGGCGTCAATCTTTTGCAATGTAGGTCCCCGGTGCCACCCAACAGAGTACAATGGGAGACAATAGGGACAATGGGTTATCGTCCCGTATTGTTTATGTACTTTTGAAGATTTAAGGCCGACCCTTCCCCGTCTTAGGCGAAGAAGACCCCCCCCCTGCGTGCCACAGCAATACTTGCACGTACACACCAGCCTAAACACGGTCACATACCCTACATTCGCGTTCTGATGCAGTGCTACTCTTCACAAACGCCCGCTTCCATCATAACTGGCAGTGCGTCGTCGCAGCCTGGATCTGTTACCGGTAGTTGCCGCACTGCATTGTCCGTGCTAGCTGGATGTCACGACGGTCAAGCCACTTGGCGTGGCGCTGGATCAAATCTGAGCTTTGCAACCAATGGTACACAATAGTTATACATAGCATCACGCAAACACCTTGGACACCGCCAGGTCGTCCTCCTCCCGGTGGCGGAGCACTCTCCTTTTCCCAGCCTCTTCTTCCGCCTCTTTCCGTTCTCTGTATCCGTCGCCTTTGCTTCTCTTCGCAGCGGACCGGACAGCGGCGGGCGAGACAAACTCTGCAGTATGACTCTATGAGAAATGGAAGCAGATGCACAATAAGTGATATGACTTACCGGGGTTCGAGAACACGGTCGCACCACCGAAAGCGCCCTCGAATATCCGGATTGGCGTAAGAACAAACCGCGGGCCGATCTCGACCAACGTCGTATGAGGTGGGCCATTAGGCTGTGCAGGGTCCTTTTCCATTATCTGTCGAGTCATAGTAGTGAGCGTGGCGCCCGCAGTGCTTCAGCGCTAACGAACCTGGAAATTCCGGAACCATATCTTCGAGTCCAGTATCGAGAATGTCAGAATATGGTCAACAAAAGGCTTCGCTTTCCGCGCTGTCGCAGGCACGCCGAATATCTGCACCTAGTTAGAGCCGAATCCAGAGAGCAGCTCCCGTGAGGACTCACATGCGTGAACAACTCTTTTGTCAGACGTCCCCACTCGGTATCATCGAAGCCCTTGTCAAAGCTCAGCAGCCCACGGCTCCCCTTGAGGCAGTTCCCCGTCATCTTCAGCTCGTCCATCGTATGCACATTTTGGACGTGCAGCTTGATGCTCGGTCCGTTCGGCGTCTTCGCGGCCCACATGTACAGGTCCTCGTGCCGCCGCGCCTCGAAGTAAAGCGTGTTATTGCAGTTGTTTAGGTCCGCGAGCTCGGGGAGGAGATGCAGCTGCGATTTTGAGTCGAGTTTCGAGTCTGGTTAAAGTTTTTGCATTAGCATTGGGATCCGTCGGTCCGAGCGTGATGCCCAAGCTCACCTTTTTTGACATGAGGTAACAGGGCCTCGAGATCGTTCATGAAGTGTCTCATGCGATGCGTGATGCCCCGCGAGGAGAGCAGCAGCACCCTCTGCTTGTTCCTCTTACTCCTGGGCAGGACGGCCACTGCGGTTTCGGCGCCGTCTACATCCATGTCGTCCGCCTTGCGCTTCCCTTTATCTTTGCGATCGACCTTGGACGCATTGGCCTTTTGGGCTTTGAGGATGGAAGCCATGTTGAGCGAAGGAGGTTGCAGCTCGATCACTGCAACTGAAAAGAAAATCTGCTTATGTAACACGATCACTCCCAACTTTGAAAGCAACAAGAAATTGGTTTGTATTTTGACTTATGTAGACCTATGTAGACAGCTCGGACACCATAACAAATGCAAATGGCAGGGTGGGGAAAGGAGGATAAGTGTTTCAAGAAGATGCAGTGACTGTAGAAGGGGTCATGCGATTAGAGATGCTGGGTGTAACAAACAACAGAAATGAGGCGATTTGGTGGGACAAGTTGGGTGGTTATTGTTCTGCTGGTGGCATTCTCAGGTCGACACAGCACGCAACTGTTTCTGCTTCTCCTGCTCGAGCCGCTAAGACAGAAAAAGTATCAGCAATATATCTACAAAGGCCTGCTGTGTACTCACGTGATACAAAAGCTGAACCGCCATCTGGATATTGGCTGGCTGGCCGGTGATGACCACCAGTCTCTCGCCCTCCCCACCGGCGGGCGCGGGCGCACCATTCATACCTACGCCCACAGCACCAGGCTCCATGATCTTGATCTGGCTCGCGCTCATATGCCTGATTTCATTAATCTTGCTGCCGCCCTTCCCAATGATGCATCCGACCAGGTCGTTCGGGATGTAAATTTGCTGCGTTTGCAGCTGCTGCGGGGGATTGTG